TTGATTAATTCTAATGCATTTGAATATTCTCAATCAGTTTCATTGTCTGTGTGGATAATTTCAGACAACAGATTCATCTTCTACAGTTTTGCAGCAGCTTTGTTGGGAAATCTTCCAAGGTTTAATGTTTCAATAGCTAAGCAGAAGAATGTTCCTTAAAACCATTTCCTCTTTTGACAATAGATGAACTTGTATATATAAAATATCTTTAGTATTATTGATAACTGTAGCAGAGCGAAGGGGAAGATGGAAACAAAACAGGTGCTTGGGCTGTGGATAGTGGTTGTTTCAGAGCTAGGTGACAGATATGTGGCAACTCTTGTTCTTTTGTCTTGCTCTTTAAGCTTGGCAAGCTTTAAGCAATAATGTCTTGCAGTATTCAAGTTGTTGCACTATTTACTATGCAAGAACAAGTCCTATGCCTTTCATGCCCCTCTCTTCTGCCCAGAGCCCAGGGACTGTCTCGGATATTTAACCACCACATACCCTTTCCTTGGCTGACAGAAGGGTGCAGCCATAAACAGAGCAGTGAAATCCTTCTCGTCTGGAGTCTTCCTCTGTAAGGACTGTAGTCTCAATGATTCATCTGATGGAGCAAGGCCCTTCAATTGAATTTGGGGCTGCATGTGTTCAGGCTCCCTGTTATAAAGCCAGAAAAGGATATTTAGGACCTAATTTTTCAGTCAACCAATAATGATTTCTTAGGCATATAAGTAAATTGCTTCTTTTAAGCCCTCATGAAGTATTTTTGGGGAACTTGTAAGCAGTTAATTTTTGTCTCTTTAGCAAGTTTCAAGAAAGTACACCATCTTCCCTGTGTGCAAGGAGGTAGCTGACCTTTCACTGTCATATGCATGCAACTGCTGAGAACCTTGTTTGTGACACTTGAGTTTAGAACAACCTCCTCAGTATTCTACATGGCAGCAGCTTGTTGATGAGATGTTCCTATAAATGGGCGTTCTCTGTACTCAGCGTAATAACTGAATGTTGTTTTTTCTGTTAATATCTCTTGAAATGCATAAAGCTAGCTGCTGTGCCTCCTGCTGCAATGGTGACTGCCTGGAGGTAGCTTGTCACACTACCTCTGTACTTGAGAGCTTTAGCAGAACCTCAGGTGCTAATGTCAGTCTCGCTGTTAAGTGTCATGTGCCTGGCAGGACCTTAGCATGCGAACACCGTTCCACTGAAGACAGTATTTGAGCTCTGCAGTTGAGCAGATCATCTTGGGTTTTCTGGGGTTTTTCTTTTCCTTCTCTGTTACTGGGCATCTGACCTTTTGTACGTGTTGGTGGACACAAAGCCTGTTTGGTGAGAGAAAAATTCAAGTCTAACATTCACTTTAATTACCCAGCCCTTTTGCTGTGGTTCAGGTGTCTTTACCTGGATTTCTTAGTAACTGTTCCTGCAAATTTTTATGTGTTAAAAGCACTGACATCAAGGGATACTCATTCTTCAGCTCTTAATTCAAGTATGTGAGCTGTGGCATGAGTAGGTTTGTGTGAATGCTGTCTAGGAAAAAACAGCTTGTTGTACATGGGACCCCATGTATCTCAAGGAGGTCTTGTTCACTTATTCACAGTTATCCTGAAGGGGAAGTTCATCTGAGAGTTTCCATTAAAAAGAAGGGGTGGAAGTGCTTTAGATGGCTGACTGGAGAAGTGCAGACTTCTGCAGTGTTCAGCTGCATATTGCCCTCACACATACATGTCTCAAGGAAGTAGTTGCTCTGCCTCTGTTACTGACAGCCTCTGCCCCTTCAGTGATTAGCCAGTCAAGTAAAACCTGGCTTTATAAATTTTTTTTTTTTGAAAACAGGGAAAAAGGCAACAATGGGAGCAAGTTGTGCAAAAGTTACCTATCAATAAATAGAGGAACTCTACTGGAGAACTGCTACTGAGTTTTTCAGTGCACTGTTTGCTACTTTTCATTTGACTGTTATTAAAGTTACTAAGTAATCCTTGGTACTTTAGTGATATGGTAATGAGTTAAAGGATGTGAATGACACTAAGCTTTTGCAAATTATACAGTGATTGCTTTAAATAAAAAAAAATCTCTACACTGCCCTAGAAACAGTGGGGCCAGAGCCAGCTGTAGTCAGGTGTATCCAAATTCATTTGTTTAACAGGGTTTGGTATTGTTCCTCCTGACTTGCACAGTGGTGTAACTTGGAAACATGACTTATGTGAATTCACTTGCAGGTGTAGAGGAGACATCTCTTCTAATGTTTGCACACCTGTTCAACATTTAAACTTGTATAGTTAAGCAAGATTTGCATAGTTAACAGCTGTTGCTTTAGGAGAAACCAGTTTGTTGTTTGTTTTCCCCCTTGTGCTTCCTTCCTCTACCTGCCTCAACCTGTTCTGTGAGCTGCAAACCTCATATTCTTGGAGTGGCTCTGATTTGGGCTGGTCAGAGAGGTAACCTGACAGTTATTTATTTTTAGTGACCAAAACTGTGCTATGAGTGAGCTGACTGAAGTTTCTACCTGTTCATCTGTAGATTTTAACTTTCCTGAGCTTTGATTATCCTGAAGTTGTAACATGTCTATCTGTTGGGAGGGAGCACAAGAGTTTTTTTATGTTGTTTTTAAATAAGTATTGTATTTATAATTTTAAGAACTGTTCTTCAGAGCCAAATCAATTGAATGCTCCTGCCCAGCTCAGACTGCTAGTTAGGTTTTTGTAAGAAGTTTTCTTTTTGAATAATAACATGTATCTGCTTTTTATTCGTACTTGTGGTTGGTGTTCCTGGCCTGTATGGTAACAGCTGACTGTGCTTGCCTCTAATTAGAGCTGTACCCATTTTCCGTGGGCATCTGTTAAGTTACTTAAGCAACAGAACACACACAGTGACTTAGTATGTACAAACCTCTTTCAAAAGAGCCTTATTGTGCTGGCATTAACATAATTGTTAGAGTAAGAATCATGTTTGAGCCAGCTAGCTGTGAAGTTGATAGGTGGTAGAATGGTGTTACTAAATGTTTCATCTTGGTTGCAGTCAAATTCTTGTGTTCTTATAATCATAGCAATGTGATACCTAGAAGAATACTATTCTGATACAAGATCTGCCATTGCTTGATGTCTAATTAGTACTGCTTGGAGAGTTTGCTTCTGGGTCTAAACTGTGAACTTGATTAACCCATATTTTTAAGTCACAAGGTAATTCTGAGATGTGTTTAATTGTGTTCTGTGTTAAAGGATGGTTATTACGCATGAGACCAAGCAAATGTGGCTTAAAACAAAAAAATACTTAGAGCTGGAAGGAATTAACAGCACTTGAAGGAAGTAACTTCATTTATATAAGAACTGGACTTGCTTTAAACCTGAATGTATGATTTCACTCATTTGGCTTAGTAGATAAGAGCCATGATGAAGTCCAGCCGCTTGGGATTTCGTAAAATATTATGTTGATTATATAAATACTTGATTCTGGTGAGCAGTAGTAGCAATAAAAAGGGATTTGTAGTTGCTTGAAGAGGAAACAAGGCAAGTTCCCAAGATAAGATGCATCTTCATTGGTTTTTAATTGGTCTTTTTTTTTCACTTGCCCCTTTAGTTTATCCTTCTTTAGTGTTCAAAATGGAGCCTTTTATAACAAACTGTGCCTTGTTACATCTACTTACTGTTTGATTTTCAGACACAGGTTAGATGGCTTGGAGTTGGGGATGGTGCAGATAAGAAGGAAAAGGAGGTGGTTAAAGCAATGAGCTGGAAAATGCAGTTTTCTGGTGCGTTTCTCTTGCCTCTCTTGTCCATGCAGAGGTAGGAGAGCCCCACTGAACTCAGCTGCTTGTGGATCAAGGTAGTAAGAGTTTCATGCTTAGCAGCAGCCTGTTGTGAAAGGCAGATCATGTAGCTAGAGCATTTGGTTATCCTAGTCCTTTATGATATCTGAACAGCAATGCTGTGCATTTCAGTTGATCTGGAAGGCTTTTTGCTGGGAGAGAGAGAACTAGATTTAATGGAGAGGTGGTCTTGGCACTGCTAGGAAACGTCAGTAAAGCAGGAATTGGGAAACAATTTTTCTCTTTTTTTCTTGGAAGCCAATTATCGTTGTGTTCTCTGTTCCTTGGCAATATATGACTTCTTCAGAAAAGAAACCAACCCAAACCAGAGCAAAGCACAAACAAAAAATAAATGTGAAATGAAACAGCACCTAATCAAAACAATGCCTCAAAATTCCTGTAATTGCTTGTTGGGCCTTTGCAAGGCATACTGAGCTGCAGGTGCTCAGTTATTACAACTCCAGCTCATGCTGGTGACCAGTGGTTCCAGTAGGTGAAGGTTCTATGCTAATGGTTAAATGATTATGTCAACTTTGACACTTTTTTCTGAAGTTGTGCCTATGCCCATTATGGATTTGATGTGAAGATGACAAGAAATTACATAGGTGATTAAGGCTGGCTAATGCAGTATTTTTGTTTTAAGGCAGAAGAAATAGTAGTTATAATTCTGTTATGTATATGTTAGTTACAATATTTATATATAGATAAAATAGGAAAAAAGCCAAAAAACATGAATTTGAAAAAGTGCGTATTTTTTGTAACTGAGCACAAGTTGTTCTGAAGTAGGAAATGAGGCATTTTAAAAATGTGTTGCAAAATTTCTAATTTCTCTCATTCAGCTCTGCCTCCCCCAACATTTAAATTCCGTGTTTGATGAGAGGTAAGCCCCTGATCACGTGCTTGGAACTGAAATGAAAGCTTGTCTGTTCACAATGCTGAAGTTTGGTTGGATGGTAAATTGTCTGATAGTTCATCCAGTAATGAAGGTACCAGTGATAGAAGTGGGCCTGACAGCCTGCTGGGTCTGTGTGATACCTCTTTTATTTGGTACAGCTCCTTATCATTACCAAAGCAATTACTTCCTCCATATTCTAAATATATCTTTACTTTGTTATCTTTGAACTGCTCTCTAACACTGGCCTTTAGACTTTTTGGTCATGATCCCCCCACCTGATATTCTCATCAAGTACTAAGATGAAAATCTTCTACCCTGCAGCACAGCCAAGTACAGTGTGGTGACGTTTCTACCTCGATTCCTGTATGAGCAGATAAGAAAAGCTGCAAATGCATTCTTCCTCTTCATTGCCTTACTGCAGGTATTGTTTTATTGCTTTGCCTTATTTATAAAATGGTAATGCAGTAAAAGTTATTTGTTGTTATGCTTTACTGCAAAGCAATTCTTAAACTTACTTTAATAGTAATATTAATGGGGTATGTAGTTGCTAATTGAAGTTGGAAGACAATTTAGAGGCTTCTTTCAATGTTGTTTTTAAATTTGAGCCTCTTTTATTTGTATAAGTAAAAATAAGTGGTCATAAAACATGGAGCTGTTGACCATTGTGAGAAAAGCATGTGTGACTTTTTTGTGAAACCTCTGCTTAATTAGTCCAGGTTACCTCTGCTTCCATGTGAATTATATAATTTGTATAATTTTCTTGTAAAGAGAAGACATAGAATAAAAGGCACGTGCAACAACAGTATCTTCTAACTTTGTTACTGCTTCTTCAAACCTACCTAGACCGTGGGCTAGTTTGCCCACTGAATTTGGGTATCTGTGAGGCACAAATCACACAGTAAATCAGAGAACTTTGCGTTCTCTCTTCTGAGAGCTTTGCATAAAATTCCAAATGTACTAGAAATTAATTTTAAATGCAAATATAAAATGGGTGTCTTTTCTCCCTGTTCACAGCAAATTCCAGATGTCTCTCCAACAGGAAGATATACCACCTTGGTGCCATTGCTATTTATTTTAACAGTTGCTGGCATCAAAGAAATCATAGAAGACTATGTGAGTATGATTGTGGGGAAGGCTGTGCTAAAGACCAAATGTCTCAAGAAAAAGCAATAGAATACCATAAAGCCATGCATCTCTAAAGTCCCTTGAGTGATTGCTCAACAGCAGCAAAATATCATCTTGACTTTCAGAGCGCTTGGCTAGAGTTTCTGTAATGCACTGAAATAAATATTTTCATTATAGTTGGTGAACAAGAAAACAGAAATCGGGACATTTGTTTCTCCCTCTTCAGACTTGCTTATTAATGCTTTTATTAGAAAGACATTGTAGAATCCTGACAAATATGTGACCTTTTTAAATAGTCTTGAAAATGGGGGTTTGGGGGGTGAGGCAAGCAACTTAAGGATGGTGTTTTGGGGAAAATCTGCACTAACCTTCTTGTATACTTTACATCAGAATGAGGTCTTGCTGCTTTGCAAAGTACTGATGAGTGAAGTAATTTGGATATCAGTCTAAACAACAGCAAGTGGAATTTATAGTACATCTGCCATCTAAATATCATATTCTTTATCGTTCCTTTTGTTTTTATTCAAAAAAACACAGTTTTGGAGACTTTTTTTAAACTCTGATAAAGGTTTTAGCCTGACTTCTAAAATGGAGACTTTCACTTTGAGGTTTATAATTATCCTCTTTATACTTTTTCACAAACCATTTGCATTGTGATGATCTGTGACTTTTAAAAAAAACCAAAAAAACCCATAAAGGCAAGAAGGACCCAATGTATCATCTTGCAGTTTGTTGTATTTTTAGCTCTAATGGTTCTGGAATTTGTGATGAAGTGTAATGAGGTGTAATGAAATGTTTTGTTTCCTTACAGAAAAGGCATAAGGCAGACAGTGCAGTGAATAAAAAGAAAACAGTAGGTAAGACTAAACAGTATGTAAGTATTTAAAATGCAAATCGTGCATGCTTACTTTTGAACAATTCTATTGCTTTAACTGTCATGATGGTGAGGATTGCATGTTTTGTGCACTAGGTACTTAACAGTAATTTAGGATTTTACTTTGCTAAAGGCTTCAGACTGATGTTTGATGATCTGACACTAAAGGTTTCAGATGGATGTTTGATGGTCTGACACTTAAGGGTGAGGCATTGGGAGGATTATTAGAATTTATAAGTTCATGTAATTTCAAAGTTACATGGTTCTCAGCTTCTCCAAGAAAAAACAAGCAATTTTTTCCCTACCAAAGTCCTTTGTGACTACTAACACCAAATCCAACACCAGAACATCCAGAACTGAAAAAGCCGACAACTCCCTGAAATGATAAAAGCTGCTGTCAGAAGAATTTAAAATAATTTTTGTAAATGCCGCTGCCCTTTAAATATAATGAGTCTGGGGATTTTTTAGCTTTGCTTTCCTGAAGTGTCACTGAAAGAGAATTTAACACCGATATCCACTGAATGCCTATGTGTGTCCCTAAGGTATGGAGAGTATTTGTCATTGTATGTCTGAAGAGACCACTGTCATTTTCATCACCTTCCTCAACTGAGAACCTGTGCGGAAAATGTGAAGAGCTTGTCAATGGCCACCCTGTGATTGTCCTGTGCCATAATCAAGGCAGCTCCATGTTCCCCTGTTGGACAGCTCCACTTCTGCTCCTCTGTACAAATGTGCAGGTGAAATGGGAACACAGGGACATGAGCTCCTAGC